ACTGTCATTGAGTCAACTCGAACTTATTGCAACCCTATGTAGAGTTTCCAAGGGTGAAAATGGTTAGTGGTGCAGAGAACCTGTTCTGGTGGATTTCAACTGACCACCTTATGTTTAGTAGTTCAACACTTAACCAGCATCAACTATGATTCAAAAGAGAAATATATATTAAGGTATGTGTATGGAGGTGCTTTTTAGAACCTAAACTAGAAACATAAAATCACTTTGGAGACTTAGAAACAGACAAACTCAGAAAAGCTTTCTATAAGATGATTTTTTTTGAACAAAGGATGAACCACACTCAATGAGGAAAAGATCTAATTATTTAAAAATTTGAAGCCATAATGAGAAATCTCATCCCAGATTGGCTTCACTCGAGAATTCTTCCAAATTGTTGCATAAGTATTAACACAAAATTTACACAAAATCTTTAGAAGAAGGGGTAAAGAGGGACACTAACCAAGATGTTCCTTAAGTTCAGCATAATTTGATATGAAAACATCAAAGACATTATCAATGTAATGACCTAATAGAGATGCCAAAAATACAAAGAGAAAGAGGGGTAAGAATAGAAACTAAATTTAATGCTATATGACTAAACTGGTTTTCTATCACAAGTTAAAGCTTTGTTTAGTATCCAAAATTAAATTAATGATCAACATGAAAGAAAAATATATAATCAAAAACATAGTGGTACATAAAATTAATACATTCATGATTTTTAAAATTGCTGTTAGTGAGCAAACTAATGGTAGCAAACTTCCTTTTTCTTTAATGAGCAAGGGGTTTCAATAGTCTCTTTGTAAAGGAGCAGGTCCAAAAGGCCAATAATATATGAGAAGTTGCTCAGTTTTATTATCAGGGAAATACAAACTCAAAGCACAAGAACACTCATAGCAGTATGACTAAAATTAGGAAGACTAATAAGATCAATTGTTAACAGAAATGTGAGTTAATTAAAACCTTTATAGACTGCTGTTTGGCATAAAAATTGATGCAATCACTTAGGAAAACAGGGTTTTACTGCCCACAAAAACTGAGCACACACATACCATATTATACAGCAATACTACCCTTAGATACTCACTTGAAATGTATGCACATGTAACTATAGATAAAATGTTCAGAACAGCATTACTGACAACTCCAAAATAGAAAGAATTCAAGTATATGTTATCAGCAGAATGGATTTACAAATTTTAGTATATTCATTCAACAAAACATTTTACACATTCAAAATGAACCACATGGATCAATTTCACAAACATCAGGATGACCATTTATGGCAATTGGAAAAAAATTTCATACTGTAGTGTCACATTATATAAAGTTCAAAATGGACCAAAGCCATGGTAGTGGCACTTTGAGGGAAGATAATAGATAATTATCCATTGAGAAAGTGAACAAGACAAAATGTCTAGGAAACTAGAATGTTCTAACTAAGATGGCATTGCATGATGTTCTTTCTTGTAAAAAGCTAACAAGCACAGGTATACTGTTTTTCAATCTTAATTAAGTATTCCATAGTCGATTAATAAAATATTATCTGAATACATAAAGAGACATACTTAAAAATGAATTAACGTAGGAACGTCAATTTTCCCAAATTAATCCATATAAGCAAGAGATTCCAATATGAATTTCAGTTTCATTCTCCAATGAATCGATTCTTTTTTTAAATGCATACATATAGTGTAAACATCTACGAACATATAAGTCAACTTTGAAAAAGAAGAGTGAAAAGAAAGAATTTGTTAATGCATTGACTATATTAAGATTTTATTCATCAGAGTCTGGTTATAAAAATAGTGATTGGGCCTTTAAGAACCCAGACGCTATATCTTTTGATAGCCAGGCACCATCAGCTTTCTTCATCACATTTGCTTATGCACCTATTTGTCTTCAGCAATCGTATCATGGAGGTGAGCACACAATGATATGATTTTTTGTTCTTTGATGCCTGATAACT